TTACGCTGTGATAACGGGCGAAGTCCTGTCCAAATGGGTTTCTAACAAGTGATGCGTCATTCATCAATAACTGGTAATATGAATTTTCATTTTTGAGAAACCCTGGGTAGAAAACTGCTCAACAAACTGAACAAAACACTACCCGTCAGGATCCGAGGTAGAATAGGTCTTCAGCAACCCATTCTTGCCGTAAAAGGCGACTATGCTTGTCGTAAGAGGCGACTAACGGGATCGGGTGGTCAGGCTCGCTCACTTGGTTGAAGCATGTCATCGATCCCAATTGCGTGGATCGATGCTCATGATGTCAATCACTGGATTGTCTGGTCCAGACTCGATTAGTTTACAGACCGCCGTCATATAGCTGGAATATTGCTGAGTGCGGCGTTAAACAACAAACAAACAAACAAACTATAACTGGAATACTGTTAAAAGCGGCGTTAAACCCAACTCACTCACTCACTTAGAGCATGAACTCCACGTGCACCGCGTCCCTCCAGCGCAGTCACCTGTTCAGTGGAAATGGATTCTTCCGTTGCACGCGCAACTATTTTTGCCAGAACGCGTTGTTCACACAGATCGCTTTAAGGTTTGTTGAAAATACAATTCGGCTGTGGGAGAGCCAAGTGGTGAAAGCGTTTACGAGTCACTCCGATGATCCAGGCTCCATTCCCCAGAATAGTATACTGCCTACCGTCGTGACAGTGCTGGATTGGTGCTAATTCTAAAGCGGCGTTAATCTATATTTATCCATGCATTCATTATAGCGCTCAGTTGTTCATATAGTTTCTTCCACAGTTTTGTCGGGGGCACGGGTGGCCCAGTCGTCTAAGGCGCCGCGATTCGCTGTGCAGAGTGACGTCTCTGGGGCACGCCAGAAACCAATGATTGTTGGTTCGAATCTAGGTTCGCCCCGATTATGTTTCTAGATTTTTCAGCACCATACCCGTGCTCGTGGGTTTCACCGAAGAGGTAAACATCTGAGACCTGCATCACTTCGGGCTTTCCTCCCACTTTAAGCTGATACGCCGCGATATAACTGGAATACTGTTAAAAACGGCGTTAAACCCAACTCACTCACTCACTGAACCGCAACGTCATATTGAGAAGACTAAAGAAGTTGAATTCTATTTGTTAAATCTGGCCTCACCTCACAAAACAGACCCCTATACATTCAATCACGTATTCTCAGCTCCATGAGAAGATAAAGTAAACAACCTCTTTAGGCGCAATGGTATTTGTCTAGTCACAAACGTGTGTAACCGGACATGTTGCTGGAAAATCATCTTGGTATTACATAAATATCCACATACCTTAATTTGGAGTGGAAATAATCATTCGATAGAAAAGGCGCCTTCATGTCAGGTTTAGGGGGCACGGGTGGCCCAGTCGTCTAAGGCGCCGCGATTCGCTATGCAGAGTTGCGTCCCTTGGGCACACCAGAAACCTATGATTGTGGGTTCGAATCCCGGTTCGCCCCGATTATGTTTCTAGGTTTGTCAGCACCATACCCGTGCTTGTGGGTTTCACCGAAGTGGTAAACGTCTGAGACCTGCATCGCTTCGGGCTTTCCTCTCACGTTAAACTGACACGCCGCGATATAACTGCAATACTGTTAAAAGCGGCGTTAAACCAAACTCACTCACTCACTCCACAGTTTTGTACACACGCAGACAATCCCAGTCTCACCGACCTACATGATACAAAAGCTATCGTTCTCTAACCGGAACATTGAGACTGACTGCTATGCGTACACGCTATAGATAGATATTGCGCATGGTGTTCTCTTTGTACATACAACGATGACCTCCAACCTATTTTTAAGCACGGGGAAAGTGCGCAGTTTTCATTCTACACAAAAGAGAATCCTGGTACTCACCTTCAGTTCGTAATGAGTAAGATAAGTTAGGTAATGATTTAGATAAGTTAGGTAATGACTAAGGTAAGTTAGGTAATGACTAAGGTAAGTTAGGTAATGACTAAGGTAAGTTAGGTAATGACTAAGGTAAGTTAGGTAATGACTAAGATATGTACACCCCTTCCATTCCAAGGCTGTGAAATCATATGATGTTTACGTCAAATGAACAGAATCACCAAATGTGCATTAATTAGTGATATATTTATTTGTTTCTAACACATCATTTCAAGTGTCCTTACCTGTCTTGGACGGTCAGGACCCGTGAAGATCCGGGGTAGACTAGGTCTTAAGCAACCCATGCTTGCCGTAAAAGGCGACTATGCATGTCGTAAGAGGCGACTTACGGGGTCAGGTAGACAGGCTCGCTGACTTTGTTGATGCATGTCATTGTATCCCAATTGCGTGGATCGATGCTCATGATGTCAATCACTGGATTGTCTGGTCCAGATTCGATTATTTACATACCGCCGTCATATAGCTGGAATGTTGCTGAGCGCGGCGTTAAACAACAAACAAAACTTTGCCAGTCTGTCTGCCTGTCTGTTTTTGAAACAAGGCAGTAAAACATGCAGAATCATTAACCGTGAGTAAACATAGCGCTGTGGTTCACTTCAACTTGACGGGACGATCCCCGGCCGTGTCATACCAAAAGACGTTAAAAGATGGTACTTGTTGTTACCGTGTCTGGCGCTCGACATTAAGGGGCGAAAACAAGGACTGGTCGGCTCGGAGTCAGTATACTGTGTTTGAGTGGGGTATTCATGTTAAACTGCGGCATGGTATCTCAGTGGCTAGCACTATAAATCGGCATCAGTCCGGACTAGTACAAGCAGCCACACAAACACGTGCATGCACGTCGCTATATAAGTACAATAATCTTGGACGCGACGTTAAACCCAATTTCACCTCACCTCAACATGACAAGACTGCGCTCGCCTGTCCCTCTTGTTGCGTTATTGAAAAAGATTTACGCCCAGTGCGGGTAACCACGCTCCGTGTAGAGAGAGAATGATTAGTCGTAACAAAGCCCCGGGAACTGGGTGACAGCCTTCCGCCACATGCTTATTTGGTTTCACAGACGTCACATTTGTCATAAATATTTGTGTTTTATATGTGTGCTCTCCACCTGAGGTATCGGGGCGTGTTATCTCTTTATATGATGATATATAGTGTGGACAATGTTTAAATTTACAATGCATTGCGAAGGAGCACATGAACTCGTTATTGGTCGGGATCAGTCCGGACTGGTACAAGCAGCCACACAGCCACACACAGCAACACACACACAGCCACACACAGACACTCACACACAGCCACTCACACACAGCCACACACACACACAGCCACACACACACACACACAGCCACACAGCCACTCACACACAGCCACACAGCCACACACACACACAGCCACTCACACACAGCCCCACAGCCACTCCCACACAGCCACTCACACACAGCCACACACACACACACACACACACAGCCACACACACAGCCACACAGCCACACACACACACACACAGCCACACACACACACACAGCCACACACACACACACACACAGCCACACACACACACACAGCCACACACACACACACACACACAGCCACACACACACACACACAGCCACACACACACACAGTCACACACAGCAACACACACACAGCCACACACACACACACACCCACACACAGCCACACACACACACACACACATACAGTCACACACACACAGCCACACACACAGCCACACACACACACACACACACACACACACACACAGAGTCACACACAGCAACACACAGCCACACACACACACAGCCACACACGTTTCCCGCTGTCGGGGTAAGATGAATGTAGGTTCAAATTAATGAGGTTTCAATACAGATATAACTTCCATACACAGCCTGGTATATACAGTACTACACAATCAAAAGGCGGACTTTTGGGCACGGGTGGCCCAGTCGTCTAAGGCGCCGCGATTTGCTGTGCAGAGTTGTGTCCCTTGGGCACGCAAGAAACCAATGATTGTGGGTGCGAATCCCGGTTCGTCCCGATTATGTTTCTAGGTTTGTCAGCACCATACCCCTGCTCGTGGGTTTCACCGAAGTGGTAAACCTCTGAGACCTGCATCACTTCGGGCTTTCCTCCCATATTAAGCTGACACGCCGCGATAAAACTAGAAGACTGTTAAAAGCGGCGTTAAACCTAACTGTCCTGTGCACACTTTCTTGAATACGCCTTTGTTTGGCAGGAAGATATAACAATAAGCCAACCTTGTTGAATTATTCGTACTTATTGACCACATGTCACATTCCCATCACTTTATCTCTTTGCGACAGTATTGATAGGTAATACACAAATAGTTTTCCGTTCTGTGATGTACATGTTTTTTGCAAATAAATTGAAAGATAAAAAAAAAATATATATATTTTCTATGAAGAAGGCATCGTAACTAACAGTCAATTTGAATCATGTGACGTTCTAAAAATAGTAATACACACTTGGTCACTCTATTTGTATGAAAACAGAATAACGAAAAAACAACGCAAATTCTGCGTCAATGACTAATGGGAGACAACTCTACCAAGGCACTCGGCTTTCTGTGAAAGTGATGCCTTTATGTCTTGAGATCTATTTCGGGGCGGTCAGGTAGCCTCGTGGTTAAAGCGTTCGCTCGTTACGCCTAAGACCTGGGTACGATTCCCGACATGGTTACAATGTGTGAAGCCCATTTCTGGTGTCCCCTGCCGTGATATTGCTGGAATATTGCTAAAAGCGGCGTAAAACCACACTCGCTCACTGAGAGCTATTTCCCCCTAAAACGGCAAAATACATAAAGACAGACAGATGTGCCGCGTGTATATTTCTTCCGCGTTGTCATGAAGAAGCGTTTCTCCTGCTTTTCTCGACAATGCCTTGATAGCGCTCACTCACTCACTCAACACCCACCCACCTATAACTCACTCACTCACCCATTCACTTTTTCAAAAACGTCATATGTACCTCTTTTACCTTTTACATCAACGCAATAAAAAAACTTAAGCCTTGAGTGTATTCAAGAAAATAACAGATGGACTGAACGTAAACAGCATAAATTTTATTCATATTTTAGAACTTACATTGAGATCATGTCTTATTTAAAAAGCTCTCACATTTTAATTTAAATACAATTAAAACTGAAAACATAAAGTAATTAAACGCTGTTACAAATGGTGAAATGCTAATATAATCAAAAAAGAATATAGAAAATCTACAGCTTTCTCGTTAATCTGAAGTCCGTTATCTCGTATATCGTTTATGGCGATGGCACTGAATGGCTTCGGTTTTCGGAACTCATTTCTGTCGAACTCAAGATGACTTCGAGTGAACGAGGTTTCACTGTATTCAGAAATGCCCCTTAATGTGCACATAGATTTAAAGAAAGATGTACAAGATTGTCGAGATAATTGAGGCGCAAGCAAGGGTCGCTTGTTTGGCTAGGGCCAAGAGCCACGCTTAACTTCACACTCGCATGATTCCATCGCAGTGAATAATTTAGTGGTCTCCAAACTCTCCCCAAAGTTTCGCATTACGTCTTTTACATATGCCGCCATTTGACCCCTGAAGCACGGGTGCTGCTTTACTTCATCTATGGCAGCGGGACATTCAGCACGGCAGCTCCCGTAGGAATTACAGTTGTCCAAAACCTTGAAAACAAAAGTCGAAAAATAATTAAATGAAAAGATCCACTGTTATCATATATATTAAAGATGTTTAATACCACAGTCATCATTGTTCCATCTAAACTGCTAGGCAAAGGAAAGTATGCATTTGAAAATTGGATTTGGCCAAAACATTAGCAACGTTATCTAACCTTTACTGGGCTGAAAACTGTCGCCGAAACACTGCTACCTTTTAGTCCAAAACACAACCCGTTGTGAGGCACTCAGTGATATGGTGCATGTAATATCGCCTATTTTACCCCTATGAAATAAATCACCCTCAAACATAAGTTATACTTTCTTTCGCCCAGCAGTGTATAGCAGGAAGGCCAGTGGGTAAATCGGCGTGGATCAGATAAATTAAACCTGTGATTGATAGCATGGGTACGGATCGACGCCATCGGGTCCGATGCCACACAATCAGCCAGGCAACACACAGTGTGACCACCTGCTCCTTGATGGAAGAAGCTGCTGCGTCCTGAGTAGGAATCCTAAAGGGCGATTTTTTAAAACAATAAAAAAACTGCTTCCATTGTTTTAACTTTTTTGAATATATGACTTAATATAAATAAATGAATATGCTTTGTTTGTTTTTATCAACCCTATTTTTACAGCCTTGTATACGAATACACGAGATGGTACCGAAATTCGTTATTTGACACTGTTTTTTGTTTTACTATCATTAATGTGATGTGCAAGGACATTAATCTGTTTTTAGATCACGTTCGTGACTTTATTGATAAAGATTATAGTTTAAATTTTCAACAAGGTTTGGCCTCTAAGGCTTGAAGAGTGGTCTCCCTTTGACTTCAGCAATGGCTGTCAAACGCTTTGCTGGAAGCACCGATGAGGAAAACTCTGCTAAAAGGCAAAATGTGCTATATGGATACCGGAGAGTGTTAACTTTTCGGCATAATAAATTCGTTATGGTGTCTTTAGTTGCCGTATACGGTATTATTTAAGGTTAGCAGAAAAATATTGGGCTGGGCCGACCTTTTTTAGGTTGGCATATGGTGCTGAAAATCTATTTTTAAATGTGGGCAGGCATTTTTCCGTCATAGAGATTGCAACAAGAAAGACCACATTTATAAATCGCAAAGTTCCATCAACTTACTGATAACCTTTTTCTATAATGTGGGCCAACATTGTCCCCGTCATTTATGGTGATCGAAACAAGTGGGCCCACATTTGTATATCGCCTAGCTTCATACGGTTGCTTAATTAGATCTGATAATCAATTTCTAAATGTGGGCCAACATTTTCCGTCATAATGATTGCAACAGGGGGGACCACATTTATAAATCGCTAAGATTCAATAGGTTGACTCACTTATAACCATTTTTCTAAGATTTGGGTCGACTCCTTCCGTAATATAAATTTATTTCGTGATCGACAGAGCCCATATGGTGGGCCCATATTTGTCAATCGCTAGGCTTCATTTGGTTGACTAAGTCATTTAGTGGGCTCACATTTGTAATTATTTTGTATGGATATGTAACAATATATATTGTTCTCATTTTGTTATATTGATAGGAAATGTCTTTATTAATTATTTAGTGCAACGTTACCTCCACGATAGGTACACAAAGTCTATGAAGTTTCAATAGGTTATAGCGAAAACGGCACCTCAGCAAAACGTCACCGGGCGAAAACGGCACCTCGACTCAAGCGAAAACGGCTACTATTGCCTGGCGAAAACGGCACCTTATTTTTTTTTTACCTTGGTCAAAAAAGTGCTATTAAACTTATATGGTAACTTGCAAACACCAATATAATTGTGAGATGCTAAAACAAGTTTACATTAGAAATTAGCCTCTACTCCAACTATAATCCAACTTAGCTTATACACAACACAACATATTGTGAAAACATGACATGCTTTGAAGAAAAATAATAGAAATTAAACTCACGTCTTCTTTACAAACACAAATAATTGTGAAATTGTGAAATAAAACAAGTACGAAATTAGACCCCTACTCCAATTTACTCGCCGACTGATTGGGAGGCGCAGTTAACTTAATGTGAAAACACTATATGCTTTGAAGTGTTAAGTACCTTTACTCAATTTAAACTGAAACTGTATTTAAGAGGCCTCACATGGTGCTGTCAGATCACAATTATTCACAATGGCCTTTCTATGTGTTGCATGAGAAAAGAATGTCAGAAAACAACAACATGCTGTGATAACTGTGACCATGTAAATAAACCATATATATTACCACAAAAATCGTTCTTATCATTATTAAAAAAAGAGGTGCCGTTTTCGCCCGACACATAGTAGCCTAGTAGCCGTTTTCGCCAAATGCGGTGCCGTTTTCGCCAGAAAAATCGGTTACGTTTTGTTGAGGTGCCGTTTTAGCCTGCACCCAGTTTTCACTAACTGATCACTCAATCCGTTAAGGCGACATTTTTTTTATTTGTTGGTTTACGGATGCGCCGCTCTTTCAAAGTGCAAATGTTAAAAAAAATAAAAATGAAAATTACCTTTTTTTTTTATTACCGCCTATCTTTTCGACTAAAAGTTCAAACAAAAAAAGATTTCTTTTCCTCGTCGAGCGTAAAGCAAGGGGAAGTCACTGTGATATGTCTTGCTGGGATCCTTCTCTAATACCATCAAAGCTTGTCAATGCAAAGCGCAGTGGTGACCAGTTTAACTATTTCAACACTGTTGGCCGTTCAAAGCCACAAGTCACACCGCACGGTAAACCGTCAAAACCACGTCAAAATAGTTTATAATTATATTAACCTACTTGTCATATCATTCATTTATTAAAATCTATCACATTTCACAATGTCTGAAATACGTATTCCATTTGATTTTATCATTTTTTTATCTATAGATTAAAAATATATTCACTTGACACTATATTTCCCGCAATGTTATTGAAAATAAAATTCTCGGACACACTTCGACAACGGGTCCTCACGTGCTGAAACGTCTTTATTTACAAAGTAATAAAATCATCAAAAATGTATCTATAAAAGTTGCCAAACTGACATCTTAGTTATTTTTTCCAACTTTTCGTGCGATCGCATATCGTAAGTCAAATGACATCTCGGCTTTCGTCGCCTGGATTTCTTGGCTCGGACACGATGTCTTAACGCCAAAATATATGCATAAGAAATCTTTGTCACAGCTCATAACCTAGCTCTATGCATCCATAAAGTTCCATATTTTTAATATAGATCGCGATTTCATGCTAAAACGTTCAGAATAACATGATTTAACCCAAACCTTTCGCCAAAGTCGGAAAATTATCGTTGCTGTAATTTGATTAGCTGCCTTAGGTCACGTGCTTAAATTTGACCAATCACGAACCTTGTAGCAGATTTTGTCGGTGAAACAATATAAGTTTTTTTAATGTATACTGACATGGCAGGACGTATGTGTTATTCATACAAGGCTTTGAAAACGGAGGTATTTCCTCATGTTAGTGAGCGGACAGCCACTATCATCATGAAATGGGTGATGACAGATATTATTTGTAATTCTTTTTAAAATAATGTTCCAACAACGTAAACAAATGAAAATTAAAAAGAAATAGGTATGTGGATTTTATGAATTCTTATATTTGCCGAAAAAATCGTTAGATTTGCGCTAAATTTGGACGTTATGAATGTTTTAGCTTACATTATTATTTATTTAAAACGAACTTTATTTAGTTGTTCATGAATTATTTAAATAATGAAATACACATAACTTTCATATTTATAAACAATAGGATTAATTAGACCTTTCAAATAGTGTATGGCCAAACATGTAGTAGCAAAGATGTTAATTTCAGGAGATAATTCCTTGATAAATGTTGGTTTCATCTATCACACAACAGTCTCTGGGAACTTGGTGTCACAGCAGTAATCTCCTTGTTGGCTGCATGGTGTTGAAAGAGTTAAACATTGCCCATGCTGCCAAAATAGCAGCGTCTTTCACGCATTTCCACCCATGACATGAATATTGTTATGTTGCCATCCTTGCACAAGCTGAGTGCCAGGGATATAATAAAATGTTCTTGAAAAATTGAGTTATTTTACTTTTATTACGCCAGGATATTTTTTTTCATACCTACCTAACTTTTTAGGACAAAATTCAGGTAAAAAAAATGTGAGAGGCTTTTTTTTTTTTTTTTTTTTTTAATTGGCCTGCCTCACTTTTGAAATGAGTTTGAAATCCGTAAACCAAGAAATAAAAAAAGTGTCGCCTAAAGGAGAGGCAAATAATTTTTGACGGGTCAAAAATCATCTTACGATTGTCCACGGATTGATTTTTTCGTAAATAACTCGTAACAATCCGTAAGTATCGTAAACCGCTCGCAACAACACGTAACCATCCGTAAACAGCTTGCAAGAATCTGTAAATGACTCGTAACAAAAAAAATTACGATTTGTTACGGTGAGGTGAGGTGAAATGGGGGTTAACGTCGCGTCCAAGATTATTGCACTTATATAGCGACGTTCGATTTGTTACGGTTAGTTTACGATTTGTATACGGATTATTATGAGTGCTTACGTGTTGTTTACCATTTCATTCGGGTTGTGTTACGATGGCTTTACGGATTGTTACGAGTGTTAACGAACATTTCACGTGTAATTACGAGCACTTTACGAATAAAGTCGAATACATTCTTACGTATTGTTTACTATTTGGGGAAAGGTATAAAAGCTGCAAAATCGAACACTTCATTTTCAGTTGTTATTAAGAAGTCATAGAAGTCACATCTCTGCATATCTACTCTACAATATCTACAAGCATGGCTCAAAAGAAGAAGGCAGTCAACAAGAAGTCTCCTGCTCTTCGAAAAGCTCCGCGGAAGAAGAGGACACGCTCGCCTTTCCCTGAACCAACCCCGCAGCTAGACCCAGTTGATGTAGAAGACAATGAAGACACTGAAGTTGTTTCTCTGGATGTCAGTTATCGAATGATGATACATTGAGATTTGCGGGATTTTTATATCTTTTGGCAAAAAATCGTAAGGACTCGTAAATACTCGTAACTAACTCGTAACTATTTGTAAGTAACACGTAAAAGCTTCGATGAATAGTAACATTCCGTAATGTACTCGTAACAATCCGTAAAAAGCTCGTCAAATGCCCGTAAGCTGCTCGCAGTTATCCGTGACAACTCGTAGCAAATCGTGGAATTTTGACGTAAATACATCGTAATAACTCGTAATAATCCGTAATAAACCTTAAATAGCTCGCAATAACTCGTAACAACCCTTAAATCGGCCCATTCGTCACCACTCGCCCCTTTCCGTAACCTGCAAGAAGACTCGTCCCCCTCTCGATGAATGTTATGTGCGAAAATACGACAAACCAATCAGAATGCGCGTATGATTTCGAGTTCTTTGTCAAATAATCCCTCAGAAATAATTTTTGATTTTACATATGTCTTGCATCTAAAAATATACCCAAGGCACAGTTAAATGTGTTCAATCATACTGTATAATTCCGCACGTCCCGATGTCCTTTAAATTGCATCAGCAAAATATATATTATATGGGGAAATATATGTGAACCATTACGCAACGAGTTGACAATTGTTTTAGGTATGCCCGTTTGCGCTAAGACGGAACCTAGTCGCAAAAATGGCCATGAGAGGGGCACGAGTCGCTATTCGGCTTGTCCCGGAATACCACGAGTTGGTCACGAATGAAATCGGCCGTAAAAGTGGCCAAATCGTAAGGATCCGTGAATGTGTGCAATCCGTAAGGACCCGTAAGAAAACTCCGTGTATGTGAAGGGGGCATAGTGTGTGCTACTGATCGTAGTAGGGTTGGATATTCTTTTTAGTGACGGAAAACCAGACTGACTCATTCAATTCTTCGACTGTGTGTTTGTTTGGCTATCGCTAGATAATGTGTCTGTAAATTTCATTCTCTAGCATTTTAATTTTATGTTCTTATAAAGCGTTGATGTGATATATGTTATATCCAATGTGTGTGCAAGCATATTCACATCAAAAGTGTTTTAGTAACTTTGATTATCATGCAGTCGCGACGTTGTCTGGTACTATGTAGATTTTTCCCATGTATTTATAGTCATTTTTGCCACTTTACTAATTGTATATATCTGGCTGTAAATGTTTAATAGTACCTTTGGGTAGCTTATGTTCAGCACTGTACTTTGATACCTAAATCCAACTTTGGTTTAGTAGTTAGTTTGCTATTCCTGTTTTGCCTACTTTAGAAAGCACAAGTCTCTTCGCTCGCGAGGATAGACAGCTTTCACTGATAGCTGGCTGTGATTGTCTTAAGTAGCTCATCGCTACCGAGTGTAACTATCGCCAGAAATCGTGAGACCTTGATGGGTCGTTCTGCTACTGCACAATGGTCGAGCTTAGTTTCGCCAGTTGGTAATTATGGGACAGTCTTGATCTTACACAGACTTAATGCTGGTCTCACTGCGTTAAACTTATCGGCTGGGGTATTACATTTACATAATACACCCCTTTTATCTAGTGATCAAGATCAAGTGATAGTTTTCTCAGGATTATCTAGCTTAGGTCAAGTACCTTTTTATTGTTGAAAATCAAGAGCTTCTGTAGGTCAAGTACCTTTTCATAGTTGGAAGTCAAGGATATCTGCAGGCCAAGTAACTTTTTATTGTTGAAAGTCAAGAGCTTCTGTAGGTCAAGTACCTTTTCATTGTTGGAAGTCAAGGATATCTGTAGGCCAAGTAACCTTTTATTGTTGAAAGTCAAGAGCTTCTTTAGGTCAAGTACTTTTTACTGTTGAAAGTCAAGAGCTTCTGAAGGTCAAGTACCTTTTCATTGTTGGAAGTCAAGGATATCTGTAGGTAAGTACCGTTTTACTGTTGAAAGTCAAGAGCTTCTGTAGGTCAAGTTCCTTTTTACTGTTGAAAGTCAAGAGCTTCTGTAGATCAAGTTCCTTTTCATTGTTGGAAGTCAAGGATATCTGTAGGTCAAGTACCGTTTTACTGTTGAAAGTCAAGAGCTTCTGTAGGTCAAGTTCCTTTTCATTGTTGGAAGTCAAGGATATCTGTAGGTCAAGTACTGTTTTACTGTTGAAAGACAAGAGCTTCTGTAGGTCAAGTACCGTTTTACTGTTGAAAGTCAAGAGCTTCTGTAGGTCAAGAACCTTTTCATTGTTGGAAGTCAAGGATATCTGTAGGTCAAGTACCGTTTTACTGTTGAAAGTCAAGAACTTCTGTAGATCAAGTACCTTTTTACTGTTGAAAGTCAAGAGCTTCTGTAGATCAAGTTCCTTTTTACTGTTGAAAGTCAAGAGCTTCTGTAGGTCAAGTTCCTTTTCATTGTTGGAAGTCAAGGATATATGTAGGTCAAGTACCGTTTTACTGTTGAAAGTCAAGAGCTTCTGTAGGTCAAGTTCCTTTTCATTGTTGGAAGTCAAGGATATCTGTAGGTCAAGTACCGTTTTACTGTTGAAAGTCAAGAACTTCTGTAGGTCAAGTACCGTTTTACTGTTGAAAGTCAAGAGCTTCTGTAGGTCAAGTTCCTTTTCATTGTTGGAAGTCAAGGATATCTGTAGGTCAAGTACCGTTTTTCTGTTGAAAGTCAAGAGCTTCTGTAGATCAAGTTCCTTTTTACTGTTGAAAGTCAAGAGCTTCTGTAGGTCAAGTTCCTTTTCATTGTTGGAAGTCAAGGATACCTGTAGGTCAAGTACCGTTTTACTGTTGAAAGTCAAGAGCTTCTGTAGGTCAAGTACCTCTTCATTGTTGGAAGTCAAGGATATCTGTAGGTCAAGTACCGTTTTACTGTTGAAAGTCAAGAACTTCTGTAGGTCAAGTACCTTTTTACTGTTGAAAGTCAAGAGCTTCTGTAGATCAAGTTCCTTTTTACTGTTGAAAGTCAAGAGCTTCTGTAGGTCAAGTTCCTTTTCATTGTTGGAAGTCAAGGATATCTGTAGGTCAAGTACCGTTTTACTGTTGAAAGTCAAGAGCTTCTGTAGGTCAAGTTCCTTTTCATTGTTGGAAGTCAAGGATATCTGTAGGTCAAGTACCGTTTTACTGTTGAAAGTCAAGAGCCTCTGTAGATCAAGTTCCTTTTTACTGTTGAAAGTCAAGAGCTTCTGTAGGTCAAGTTCCTTTTCATTGTTGGAAGTCAAGGATATCTGTAGGTCAAGTACCGTTTTACTGTTGAAAGTCAAGAGCTTCTGTAGGTCAAGTACCTTTTCATTGTTGGAAGTCAAGGATATCTGTAGGTCAAGTACCGTTTTACTGTTGAAAGTAAAGAACTTCTGTAGGTCAAGTACCTTTTTAATGTTGAAAGTCAAGAGCTTCTGTAGGTTAAATACCTTTTTATTTTTGGAAGTCAAGTGCTTCTGTGGGTCAAGTAACTTAACTGTCAAGTACTTTTGAAGTCCATTCTTAGTCCATCAGTCTACAAGCCTATATATTTATTGAGGCGTATTATTCTGTCTTGTCCAAGAGACATATGTTAGGAATAGGTCCACAGTACCAAGCCGAGGCTATTCACTCATTAGATAGTGTAGAGGTATATATCTCCAAGGTGTTTATTGGTCACAGCCGGTTCAATCTGCTGTCATGTCAGCGGCATTAGCCATCTTATGGTAAACGGTTTTATAGTTAACGAGCTTACATATTCGTGCATTGAGTACTCCCTGCCTGTGACAATTGGGGTCCAGTCACTTTCGTTTGTCTCTCGTTGATTATATCTAGCTTATGATAATAAAACTGTGAACTTTTACCATGTTGTCTATCATTTCTGTATGTAGATTTGTTAACACCCTTGTCGCAGGACACTCAGCTCCGTTACACGCGCTATTGCTAAAGAAGTATTTGTGAACTTAAAGCTTGTATAATTATGTTTGTTTTTGAAGATATTTCTTCTTCACACCGATCATGCAGTTTTTTTAAATGTCATTAAACCACGTGACTACAGAGTAACATCGTTCGTTTTCAAAATTAAAGACAGTCATCAAGTCATACCAAATGTCTGGAAGACATAAAGTGACACATATCGACAAAACCCTTTCCATTTTAATTTTCATAAGAGCATGTGTTTGTGCATAACTATTAACTAGTAATAGCCTGATTACAGCCCAAACTCGGTGATTGCTATTGTTTGTGGTTCGATTAAAAAAATCCATTTAAATTTAACATACCTTGTCAAATAGTTGTTTTCTGATAGGATCGGATTGATTGAACAGCATAGAAAAAGAACAGCCGTTGACTGATCCAGTTTCCTCGAAGTTACATGTATCAATATCTCCCCACGTGAAGCAATTCCCGCTCTTAAGCGCCTCGGCCGGGTAGTAGGTGAAAATCCCAAAACACATCTCATCGTATGACCCCTCTCCAAACATGGCAGTTGTGGTTCTCGAGGTGGACCTGTACACGCAGGTGGTTTCCAGAACATCGCCCGCTAGCAGCTGCACGGGAGGGTCGTACCTGGGAACAGAGTACAGAGAAGCATTATTAATTCGGACTCGGAACATAGATGCCCTATGAGATTACGGGCGTTATCAGTGTTACGTATAGACAAGTGAGTGAGTGAGTATGGTTTTACGCCGCTTTTAGCAATATTCCAGCAATATCACGACAGGGGACACCAGAAATGGACTTCACACATTGTTCCCATGTCGGGAAACGAACCCGGGTCTTCGGCGTGACGAGCGAACGCTTTAACCACAAGGCTACCCGACCGCCCCTTACGTATAGACGACGGGAGACAGAAGAGGGGGAGTGTTTCAGTTACATCACGGCGTGTCAGCTTAATAGAGGGGGTGATGCACAACAAAAGATCTACGTCTCACATGTTTACAGCTTTTGTTAACCCAGATCTCACAGTGCTGACAAACCAAGAAGCATACTCAGGGTGTAATAGGGATTCGAACCCATATCATGGGATTCTGGCACACCAAAGGAAGGCAACTCTGCATAGTGATTTGCAGGGCTTTAGATGCCTAGGCCATCCGTGCCCCTTGTAGATATTAAATGGTTGCTATAGTAAAAAATGGTGACAAAAATTGCAAAGTGCGTTTTTCAAGTAATGTCTATTTTGCCGGTGATAACGTGCTTACTATCACGGTACGCTTCGGCAGTTTATTATATTGAGCAATGTGTGCAGCAAGTGTATACTACACTACACACGTACGGAAAGGAGAAAATACGTGCATATGTAGTATTTAAAGCGCTATTGTCAAAGTTCACTGCTAGATATATTACCCCTCGAAGTCACCATTCTTAATCTGGAATCTTCTAGAACAGATAGACTATTCCAGCTTGGTATAGGACATTCTACCCCCTTAATGCCGAGACCCGTGAAGATCCGGGGTAGAATAGGTCTTCAGCAACCCATGCTTGCCGTAAAAGGCGACTATGCTTGTCGTAAAAGGCGACCAACGGCATCGGTTGGACAGGCTCGCTGACTTGGTTGATGCACGGTCATCGATCCCAATTGCGTGGATCGATGCTCTGGATTGTCTGGTCCAGACTCGATTATTTACAGACCGCCGTCATAAAGCTGGAATATTGCTGAGTGCGGTGTTAAACAACAAACAAACAAACCAACCAACCAACCAACCCTTAATGCCGAGCGCCAGACAGAGTAACAACAAGTACCATCTTTTAACGTCTTTTGGTATGACGCGCCCGCGATCGAACAACGGACCTTCGGCTCCCCGGGCGGACGCTCTACCACTAGACCACGGAGGCGGCCGTGGAGAAGAGAAATAGTGTATGAGGTGATGCACAGGTGATGGTTGAACAGGGTGTACACAAATCCTTCAGAGTATTGGTAAAGAGAATAACCTCGTCAGCTAGAATCCTGTATCTCGTAATGCTATTTTCAAGCATTCTTGAAAAGAAATGATTGAAAAAAATTACACGTGAACGACTGGGTTGTCGTAGCTATACACCGCATCTGGAGTCAAATCTCGCACTTTCACGCCATTCCGGAACTGTTCCACGTTCTGTTCGTAACCTGAAAAGAAAAGAAGCCCTTTACTTTATGGCATCCTATTTAAGGGAGAGTTGGGTCACTAATAGGCGTCACAGTTCGCTGGGGAGAGTTGGGTCACTGCAGTAAAAGGCGTCACAGTTCGCCGGGGAGAGTTGGGTCACTGCAGTAATAGGCGTCACAGTTCGCCGGGGAGAGTTGGGTCACTGCAGTAATAGGCGTCGCAGTTCGCCGGGGAGAGTTGGGTCACTGCAGTAATAGGCGTCGCAGTTCGCTGGGGAGAGTTGGGTCACTGCAGTAATAGGCGTCGCAGTTCGCTGGGGAGAGTTGGGTCACTGCAGTAATAGGCGTCACAGTTCGCTGGGGAGAGTTGGGTCACTGCAGTAATAGGCGTCGCAGTTCGCTGGGGAGAGTTGGGTCACTGCAGTAATAGGCGTCACAGTTCGCTGGGGAGAGTTGGGTCACTGCAGTAATAGGCGTCACAGTTCGCTGGGGAGAGTTGGGTCACTGCAGTAATAGGCGTCGCAGTTCGCCGGGGAGAGTTGGGTCACTGCAGTAATAGGCGTCGCAGTTCGCCGGGGAGAGTTGGGTCACTGCAGTAATAGGCGTCGCAGTTCGCCGGGGAGAGTTGGGTCACTGCAGTAATAGGCGTCACAGTTCGCTGGGGAGAGTTGGGTCACTGCAGTAATAGGCGTCACAGTTCGCCGGGGAGAGTTGGGTCACTGCAGTAATAGGCGTCGCAGTTCGCCGGGGAGAGTTGGGTCACTGCAGTAATAGGCGTCGCAGTTCGCTGGGGAGAGTTGGGTCACTGCAGTAATAGGCGTCGCAGTTCGCTGGGGAGAGTTGGGTCACTGCAGTAATAGGCGTCACAGTTCGCTGGGGAGAGTTGGGTCACTGCAGTAATAGGCGTCGCAGTTCGCTGGGGAGAGTTGGGTCACTGCAGTAATAGGCGTCACAGTTCGCTGGGGAGAGTTGGGTCACTGCAGTAATAGGCGTCACAGTTCGCTGGGGAGAGTTGGGTCACTGCAGTAATAGGCGTCGCAGTTCGCCGGGGAGAGTTGGGTCACTGCAGTAATAGGCGTCGCAGTTCGCCGGGGAGAGTTGGGTCACTGCAGTAATAGGCGTCGCAGTTCGCCGGGGAGAGTTGGGTCACTGCAGTAATAGGCGTCGCAGTTCGCCGGGGAGAGTTGGGTCACTGCAGTAATAGGCGTCGCAGTTCGCCGGGGAGAGTTGGGTCACTGCAGTAATAGGCGTCGCAGTTCGCCGGGGAGAGTTGGGTCACTGCAGTAATAGGCGTCGCAGTTCGCCGGGGAGAGTTGGGTCACTGCAGTAATAGGCGTCGCAGTTCGCTGGGGAGAGTTGGGTCACTGCAGTAATAGGCGTCACAGTTCGCTGGGGAGAGTTGGGTCACTGCAGTAATAGGCGTCACAGTTCGCTGGGGAGAGTTGGGTCACTGCAGTAATAGGCGTCGCAGTTCGCTGGGGAGAGTTGGGTCACTGCAGTAATAGGCGTCGCAGTTCGCTGGGGAGAGTTGGGTCACTGCAGTAATAGGCGTCGCAGTTCGCTGGGGAGAGTTGGGTCACTGCAGTAATAGGCGTCACAGTTCGCTGGGGAGAGTTGGGTCACTGCAGTAATAGGCGTCGCAGTTCGCCACACATGAACTTGGCTAGTGCGGATCTATAGTTTCTGAGCATCTTATTTAAAACATACTTTTCATTTTTGTCAGTATTATGTCCGATGTTGTCCAAAGCTGTGACATTTATATGGAGTTTTCAAAACCCCTTACTCACTACCACCTGTTGGTGCCGACTGTTTTCGACAACACCGATGCCATCACTAATTTTCAGAGATCAGTTTATATAATTGTCATAACTAATTTGATATTAGAGATTTTCTCTGGCGTCGGCGTTTAAAATTTACTGCCCACATGAGTAAGTGGGTTGGGTTTAACACCGATGTGAACAATATTCCGGTTATATCACGGCGTGTGAGCTTAATGTGGGAGGAAAGCTCGAAGTGATGCATGTCTCAGACGTTTACCACTTTGGTGCAACCCACGAGCACGGGTATGGTGCTGACAAACCTAGAAACATAATCGGGGCGAACCGGGATTTGAACCCACAATCATAGGTTTCTGGCGTGCCCAAGGGGCGCAACTCTACACAGCGAATTGCAGCGCCCTGTACGTTTACAAACATGTATATACCCAGTATAGGGAGGGGAGTATATAACACGTGCATGCATGTGTGTGGCTGCTTGTACTTGTCCCGACTAAATAATGCCCTGCTTTCAAGTGCTAGTCTACTGAAATACCACGCCGCTGTTTAACATGGATACCCAACTCGGACACAGTAAACTGACTCCGAGCCGACCAGTCCTTGTAATCTCCACTCGAACCTGAACGCCAGGCAGGGAAACAACAAGCACCAGCTTTAAGCGTATATTGGCATGAGGCATTGGCATCCAAATACAACCCTTCCGTTCTCCGGATATGTGCTCTATCAACTAGATACCGAAATACTGATCAATGCTTGCTCGCTAGCTCCCTCCCTCCCTCTCCCCCTCACTCACTCACTCACTCACTCTGAAACAGCTGTACTTACCCAAGTAATGCATATGGTTCCAGCCGGTTAAAAGATTCACCGGTTCCTTAATTAGTTTCCCGGTACATTCTGCAGTACATGTGGACTTCATGACCACTCGCTGCTGGCCGGGCGGGATGACCAGTTGCGTCTGTCCAGTGCTGAAGTAGGCAGCGTTATTTTGTCTCAAGTTCTTTGTCAGGAACAGGACAAGGCCTGAGCTGTCCACATAGTCGGTCCTCTTCTGTGGATTCGTCCAATGGAACTGTCAATGGAAAGATTGAAGTAAGTTTGGTTAAACGCCCTTTAAACTTACAGTATATCTGTTATATCACGGCTTTATGTAGGAGTGAGTGGGTGAGTGTGGTTTTACGCCGATATTAGAGGTATTCCAGCAATATCACGGCGCCCTTTTATGTAGGAGGAACGCCCAGAATCATGTAGATGCCAGACGTTTGCCACTTCGGTGAAATCCAAGAACACAGGTATGGTGCTGACAAAACCTAAACATATATCTCTAAGCGAACTGGGATACGAACCCACTATCAAGGGACGTAACTCTTCACAGCGAATTAGGTGCCTGAGACGACTGGGCCACCCGTGTCCCCTTTCAGTATACAGAGAGCTGTGAGTGAGAATTGTTGAACACCAACACTATGTCAGCAACGACATAGGGTTCTGTAAATGTTCCAGTCTTGAGGGGGCACGGGTGGCCCAGTCGTCTAAGGCGCCGCGATTCGCTGTGCAGAGTTGCGTCCCTTGGGCACGCCAGAAACCTATGATTGTGGGTTCGAATCCCGGTTCGCCCCGATTATGTTTCTAGGTTTGTCAGCACCATACCCGTGCTCGTGGGTTTCACCGAAGTGGTAAACGACTGAGACCTGCATCACTTTGGGTTTTCCTCCCACATTAAGCTGACACGCCGCGATATAACTGGAATACTGTTAAAAGCGGCGTTAAATCAAACTCACTCACTCACTCCAGTCTTGACCAGGCAAATCAGTGACTAAAAGCATGAATAAAGACCTACATGTAAGTCATCGGGACACGAGGCCAGTCAATCCCCACAGAGCGAGCAGTAATCATGGAATAATGGGGATCTGTACTTCACCGGAACAATAACGAGGGTTTCATCAGTCATGACACCGGGTGTTCGCGAAAGGGATATCAATGGTCTGCTCTTACGGTAGCACCTGCCACGCAATCGATTCGCAAAAAACGTAAATGTGTGTTCATTGTCTTAATTTCACTGGACCCGTGAAGATCAGGTCTTCAGCAACCCATGCTTGCCGTAAGAGGCGACACTGCTAGTCGTAAGAGGCGACTAACGGGATCGGGTGGTCAGGCTCTCTGATTTGGTTGATGCATGTCATTGCATCCCAAATGCGCAGATTGAAACCCATGATATCACTCACTGGGTTGTCTGTCCAGAGTAGAGTATTTACAGACAGTCGTCAAAAAGCTGGAATTTTGGAGAGCGGCGTTAAAAAACAAACACACAAACAAATCTTAGACTCTCCCACCTGCATGTTGAGCATCGTCATCCCTGCCTTCTTGCCAAACTTGAATCCGGCATCCCGATACACGCACTCCCCCGGCATCCCCAGCGTCCACACCTGAAGGGTTTGCTGGCATCCCTGGGACGCCATGTTACACAGCTCTGGCTGGGACAGAGGCACGCCTAAATATTCAAAGAGTGAATGAGTATGTCTATTCCAGCAATGTCACTGCGGGGGACACCAGATTTGGTTTGTTGTTTTACGCCGCACTCGGCAATATTCCAGCTATATGACAGCGGTCTGTAAAATAATCGAGTCTGGACCAGACAATCCAGTGATTGATATCATGAGCATCGATCCGTGCAATTGGGATCGATGACATGCATCAACCAAGTCAGCGAGCCAGACCACCCGATCCCGTTAGTCGCCTTTTACGACAAGCATAGTCACCTTTTACGGCAAGCATAGGTTGCTGAAGACCTATTCCACCCCGGAATCTTCACGGGTCTGGGGGGCACAAGAAATGGGCTTCACACATTGTACCCATGTCGATAATCGAACCGGGGTCTTCGGCGTGACGACCGAACGCTGAAACCACTAGGCTAACCGACCGCCCCAAATATTCAAAGAACGTTACAACACCACCAAAAGGACACACCTATGCGTTATAGCTTCTGGTCGAATAGTAACTTCAATTTTATTTGAGTTTTGTCTGGTACACAATCCGGTTTATCCCCGGCAAAAATATTTGTTGGAACTAAACTGCCAGGCAAAAGAAAGAGCACGTTTGAAAAAATGGATTTGGCCAAAACATTTTAACCGTCATCTAAACGTTAGTAGTTTCAAACAGTCGCCGGAACACTGCAAACTTTACAAAACAAAAATATGATACCCGAATCAAATACATCCCCATGGAATAACTTTTTCTTCTTTGTTTCATTTTTAGCCACCATCAAACATGGCATCCGACATACCTCCAGGGCTCGCATAACGGTAAACCTACACTAACCTCTGGATCTAATCCCATGGTTCTTAAATTATCTCCCCTTTATTTTCATTAATATTTTACATTCGAACGTCGGGATAAGTAAAAAGGAAATAGGTAAGGGGTATTTTCCATTAAAAATATTCTTGAGGGTTTTCTTTTGCGTGTCAGACAGTTTTTCCATCGTGAAATTCTCTAAAACTACATTGTAATCAATGGGGCTGGTCGTCATGTTGTTGACATCGCTAACCTACCATTAAGACTGCTTTGTAACTCGAATTCTGATTGGTCCTTTTGACAAATCCATTTGGCTAATGAAAATCAAAGGCAGGTAATTCGAGATCAGGAGAACCACGGGAATGGATCAAGAGGCGAGTTTAAGTTTACTGAATTGCGAGCCCAAGATATATAGAGGATGCAAACATGGGATATACTTTCTTTTCCTGGCAGCTTAGTTCTGGACACGTGACTATCACGTGGTGACAACACAGTCTGGCGGCAGTCGGGAACCTGTTCAAATTGTTTCCGTTTCCTGTTTGACTCCAAATCAAATCTTAATCAACTTCTGTAACATACGGAATACCCTTTTCAAAACCGGTCGTCGTATCACTACAAGGGTTGATTAATAATTTCTCAACCCCAACTAGAAGGAATAGCATAACAGAGAAATATTTTGTTTTAGAGATTATATATCATAGAGGTATATCCACAACTACTTGAGTCAATTGAGCAAATTTTTTCGTACAAGTCTGTAAAATAAGCAAGGGTATGTGACGTTTGGAAAATGGGAAATGAGAAATGAGAAAAAAATAAAATTAAAAGAAAAATGAAATAATTAAAAAAACGAGAAAAAATAAAACTAAAAGAAAAAATGAAATAAATAAAAAAACGAGTAAAAATTGAATTAAAAGAAAAATGAAATAATTAAAAAAACGAGAAAAATAATCGAAATTTTAATTAAAAAAATAGATATGATAAATAATAACATGAACAAAGTTGCTTCTTCCGTGGCGGCGTTAGGTTTACCTGTAGCGTCGCATCCCGTCAGTGTGATGTGATGCATGACATTAGCGTTGTCGATGAAGGGCTTGCTGCCTATCAGATGGTAGTCAGTGTTGTCATCCAGCATGTCGAGGTTAAAGGTCAGGCACATGTAGCTTGTTTCCTCAGGGGGGACTCGGGTCGGGGGGAACCGCAGCGTTATGTTTATCACGTCTGGTTGTGAAGGAATTACACCGTTATCATATAAGAATTGACTTCAGTAGTTATTGAGCCTATGTATCAGTGAGTGAGTTGGGTTAAACGCCGCTTTTAACAGTATTCCAGTAATATCACAGCGTCTCAGCTTAATAGGGTAGAAATACCCGAAGTGATGCAGGTTTCAGAGGTTTAATACTTTGGTACTCGGATGTGATGCGGACAAACCTAGAAACGTAATCAAGGTGAACCGGGATACGATCACAGGCTCCTGTCGTGCCTAAGGGACGCAACTCTGCACGGCACACTTGGCCACCCTTGTCCTCCTTATGGAGGTCTAAGCGTACACGCTGAAGTGCACCCGGTACAGTGGATTTACCCATTTTACGTTTACAACCGCACAGATGCAATATAATATCACCTATTATAAAAAGGGGCGGTCGGGTAGCCTAGTGGTTAAAGCGTTCGCCCGTCACGCCGAAGACCCGGGTTCGATTCCCGACATGGGTAAAATGTGTGAAGCTCATTTCTGGTGTCCCTCGCCGTGATATTGCGGGAATATTGCTTAAAGCGGCGTAAAATCATAGGAAAAAATAGATTTTTTTAGGACAAGCATTCAAAGGTATGTCATTAACTGTTGGTAAGTTATCAGGATCGGTATTATTACTACTATTATTGGAGAATTTGGTAGCTGTGCAGAGTTGAGTCCCTTTTACACGCCAGAAATCTATGATCGTGGATTCGAATCCCGGTTCGCCCCGATTATGTTTCTAGGTTTGTCTGCACCACGTACTCGTGGGTTTCACCGAAGTGGTAAACCTATGTCACTTCGGGCTTTCCTCCCACATTAAGCTGACACGCCGTGATATAACTGGAATACTGCTAAAAGCGGCTTTAAACCCAACTCACTCACTCACTGTAACTAATCCGAACCCGGTCAACCAGTGGTTGATGGGATGTACACCACCCCAGGTACTCGGCGGAATTACCAGCCGTACATTCATTCGTGACCAACTCGTGTTATTCCGGGACAAGCCGAATAGCGACTCGTGCCCCTCTCGTGGCCATTTTTGCGACTGGGTTCCGTCTTAGCGCAAACGGGCATACCTAAAACAATTGTCAACTCGTTGCGTAATGGTTCACATATATTTCCCCATATTTAATGCAATTATATTTTTAGATGCAAGACATATGTAAAATCAAAAATTATTTCTGAGGGATTATTTGACAAAGAACTCGAAATCATACGCCCATTCTGATCGGTTTGTCGTATTTTCGCACGAACAGTCATCGATAGAGGGACGAGTCTTCTTGCAGGTTACGGAAAGAGGCGAGTGGTGACGAATGCCGTACATTGTAACCATCCGATTCTCACGTGAGTCTTGTCTTACAAACATGGAGTACAGGGGGGGGGGGGGGGGGCTTATTCTCCCGCTAGGTTCCCCACTGTATTGGGCAATCATATTTTACCTGGACTGTCTATGCCGTCGCATTTGAATTCCCCTGTTTCACAAGTGACGGCCTGGTTTGCTTCTCTGCACTGTTCGCTGCCCCAAGGGTCACAGACACCTAAATCATACCAAAGGTCAGTTAGTTTCAAAGACTGCAATCACACACTCACTCAAAACGTTCACGCTGTATTTAACGCTGTGCAGCGGACCCCGTTAATCAGGTAACCCTGCTTTAACATGTAGTGGCAGGACTATCTAACAAAATACATATATAAGGAACAGCACACGATTAATCTGGACACTTGTTAATCCGAAGATTTGAGCGGAAATGGTGCATCCATATTAACGGGGTTTCACTTTTCATAATCAACACTGAGTTAGATTCATGTGGAATATTAAAGCCACTTCTCAACAATTGTGTTGGTAGACATGTGGAGAACATGTCCAAATTTGACGCACCAGTGACAAAGATGATGTCCATTGCAATTCCCTATTTTGACTTGTACCATATGTTCCCGTTTTCAGATGTACAATTGGCTTGCCTTTGCATGTGTTTGTGACCAGTACCACCGGATACGCTGACCTTTTCGCGAACACCTGGTATCATCACTTATTTGATAGTGATTTATAAACACATGCTCATGATATAGTCGGAATCGTACTATCGACTCTGCTTTGTGCAGAGATTTCTACTGGCTATAGAAGGGTTTTGTCGCTTTATTTACTAAACAGAATGGTCCTTCGGAAATAATACAGCGTCTAACCAGGGCTGGAGGGCGTGACGAGACGGAGATTAACCTTGTGGACCTCCAAGTCGCACATGTTTACATAGACAATCTGTATAGTTGGACACCTTTCCTGATGCAGAAAATCATCTTTCTAATATGTTGTTGTAATCAATCTAGCAAACCTACTGCAGTGCAAATCGGATAGTGGCATGGTAGTTAAAGCGTTCGCCCGTCACGCCGAAACCCTGAGTTTCCAAATATAGTCATGTCCAAACCAGAGAGGGTATGTCGGCGATGTCGTATTGTGTTACCTGGATGGGTTATGCCACTTGAAGTAGACGGGAACGTTCCTTTCGTCCAGATACATTCAGGGTCACCCAGCTCTTGACCATTGGTCATTCCATCCCCATCCGAGTCCAGGCGACACAACTCCGGCGTCCACTGATATCATACATGGTGAATTTGATTAACTTGCTAACCACACTGTTTGGTTTTGTTTTTTGTTTTGGGTTGTTTTTTTGTTAAACGCTACACTAATCAAATGTAGAGTACAGGGGCTTGTAAATAACATAGTCTGGATCTGATAAACCAGTGATTGGTACAATGTATTATGTGAGGAGAGGTGAAATGGGGTTGAACGTCGCGTCCAAGATTATTGCACTTACATAGCGACATGTATGAACCCGGAATCCCCACGACCCGCGTAGGTTGCTGGGGACCTTTTCTAATCTGGAATCCACGACCAGCATAGGTTGCTGAGGACCTTTCCTAAACCGGAATCCCCACGACCAGCATAGGTTGCTGGGGACCTTTTCTAATCTGGAATCCCCACGACCCGCGTAGGTTGCTGGGGACCTTTTCTAATCTGGAATCCACGACCAGCATAGGTTGCTGAGGACCTTTCCTAAACCGGAATCGACACGACCCGCGTAGGTTGCTGGAGACCTTTTCTAATCTGGGATCCCCACGACCCGCGTAGGTTGCTGGGGACCTTTTCTAATCTGGAATCCACGACCAGCATAGGTTGCTGGGGACCTTTTCTAACCCGGAATCCACACGACCAGCACTGCCACCAAAATGGCAAACGATTACTAAGTATAAATAAGCTTTCGTCCCACATTGAGCTGACATCATGATATTTTTGAAACTCACTTATGACCATTTTCAAGTAGTTGGCCCAGTCGTCTAAGGCGCCGCGATTCGCTGTGCAGAGTTGCGTCCCATTGGCTTCGAACCCCGGTTCGCTCCGATTATGTTTCTAGGTTTGTCAGCACCATACCCGTGCTCGATGGTTTTACCGTAGTGGTAAACGTCGGAGAACTGCATCACTTCGGGCTTTCCTCCCACATTAAGCGGACACGCCGTGATATAACTGGAATACTGTTAAAAGCGGCGTAAAACGCAACTCACCCATTCACTCACTCATTACGGTTCCTTACGAAAAACAGGAATACTTCAGTACCCCATCTTCCCGAGGCAAGGGAGTTAACTGACTATAAAACTAGACTGAACTAGGCTGGTGTTATGGAGTTACATTTTGACTGGACTAACGAGTTTATGCATAGTCCAATCAACATCGCTCAACGAAATCGAAATCTGGTTCCTAAACTGTCGCGCAGATTTCGGTCGATTGCAGGATTTGCAAAGCATGTGCACCGCCAGGTCGTTGTCAATAGATATTTTCTCAACCTTTTCATGTTTTTTTATCAAGGTCATCGCGTGATTTGATGCACTTCGCGATGTAAGACCCGTTTTGTCACACTATAGATCTTGATTATCGATCAGATCGTCTTTACTTGGCGCCACCGTTTTGTTTGAAACAAATGCAAGTGATGGAATCTGATTGGCCCATAGGACAGGCTTAGAAGGGACATAACTCGTAATAACCACTGGTGGTGCTACGATCGAGCCGAGGAATTCCAGCTAAGTTGGGCAAGGGTGGAAACTGGACTTTTAAAGTCAGTTAACTCTCTTGCCCAGGGAAGATGTCAGTACCCATGAGGGAAAATAACTGTCGTGCCTATTTCTGTGTTTTAGCTTACACTGTGATAACGGGCGAAGTCCTGTCCAAATGGGTTCTTTAGTCCACCCCCTAGAGGGTTGGCGTGCCCGACCCCCCACCATAAGTAGTTGGGTTTACACGGGTGGGGCACGTGATTTCCGTTCGGGATCTCGTCCTGGTAGAAGCGGTAGGCGGATGTAGTCGCCACCAGCAGGAGAAAGGTCAAAATGCTGATATAAAAGAAAAAGAAGAAGTTGTGTGTTATGCATTTACGTCTGGGGTCCATGACACAAAGCTATCTTGGCACTAAGGGACTGGGATTTTGCTTGGAGACAAGATATTTTTCAGCTAAAGAACAGCTAAAAAACACCTTGCCACAATGTAATTTTTGTGGCAGACAATTCCTTTGTTTTCCAACAGTATAAAGCATCATTATTTTGTTCAAGCTTTATCGGGGACAATTTCAGAAGTATGTTATAAAAATCCAATAAGTGTATGACTATATAACTGATGGTTAAGCTATTTCAGTAAGTAGGTATGGTTTTACGGCGCTTTTAGCAATATTCAATCAGCAATTAGCAATCTTTGATTTGTTATGTTCATCAAATTGTAATTCTCTTAACCAACAACACCTTGACAACCTCTACAAGATGAAAAAGCAGATTTAATTATTTATTTGGATGTCCTTCATACATTTGCAGCAGCTTCATGCAATTGATGACAAAAAATATGCATTTTCAATACACCAGGCAGTTAGTTGTTTAAACATCAACCTAAAGATTGTTTTATAAAACCCAATAGGGTATCATTTTCAGCTTCATAATGTAGAAAATCCAACATCACCCAAGTATATATTTACCTAACGTTCTGCTTATGAATGAAATAACATCAGAATGGCTTTGTTGTTACCGGTATGACTTCAGCTACCCCCAAGAACAACACAACATGTCGCGTTCACTCTATTGCTAGAATTAACAACGATACAAAAGATTGCAATTCTTAATGCAGCCCTAAAATATCCTGACAACAAGATGTGCTGAATTGTCCCTCGCCAGTGTCCCGGCGTCGGGTGTATGATGGCGTCGGGTGGAGGCTGGGGTGGGTGTGGTGGTGGTGGTGGACAGCTTCTCTAGGTCCGGGGTTTTGCTGTACCATGATTTAACATGTTGAGAGCATGAATTGCATATATTGGTCATGCCACTACATACAGTAGTGAAGTGAGGTGAAGTGAAATGGGGTCGCGACCAAGATTATTGCACTTATGTTGCGACATACCTCCACGTATGTGTGTGTGTATGTGTGTGTGTGTGGGGGGGGGGGGGGGGGGGGGATGCTTGTACTTGTCCGGACTTATGCCGATTTATAGTGCTAGGTCACTGAGATACCATGCCGTAGTTTTAACATAAATACCCCACTCAGACACAGTATACTGACTCCGAGCCGACCAGTCCTTGCCGAGCGCCGGACAGGGTAACAACAAGTACCATCTTTTAACGTCTTTAGGTATGACGCGCCGGGGATCGAACCCCAGACCTTCTGTCTCCGGGCGTTCGCTCTACACTGGACTTCGGAGGCGGTCTTATACATTAGTGAGATATGAAGAATATTTGAGATTGAAGAAGAAAACAACACTTGCATATTTCAACTGTACCCGAAGACCGTGTTCGATATGTCAAGCCGATTTCGGGTGTCCCAAAGCCTGCTTTTGCTGGAACATTGCTAAAGTCAGCATACAATCATACTCACTCACTATTGGTAGCCATCCCAAATGTTTCAACGCCAGTGTTTTGCAATAAAACAGTATCTAGATGTATTTACCCCAGATAGGCCATGGCGATGCCCCGCTCCGTGTTTCACAACGTTATAGCACCTTGAGCTCTCCCCTGTAGACTTGCTCCGTCCTCCGTTGACGAAGTACAACACAACTGTGTACATAACCGAGAGTCGGTGTGAGTATACGGGCTTCAATGACTCAGGTGGTAATTATAGTATGTGTACCCGTTTGAATATTCGGACGACGGTGGGGCTACTTTCAAGTATAACCTTATAAGGAAGTTTTTATGATCGAATTATATTCATGCTTGATTATAGAAATGAACTCTGCCTGCATTGGCCTATTTAATTTATTGTATACATTATGTCGTAGCAGGCGTTTCTTTGCAGTCTCTTCGTATTGCTCAGTTTTAATTTTTTTTAAAAACACTCTATACATATAATAATTATGTTAGCTATCTACTAGCCGAAGACAGTGTTTTCTTTGGTTTCAAGAGGGTAAAGAAATTGTGTTCTGATTAAATCAAACAGATGTCGCTTCTTGCGAAAGGTTTCGTACAATTCCCTGCCATCATCAGATGGCCAACCAAGTTGACTCTCGATCTATTTTTGACCAATCACGAAAGGCGCACACAGTATGTAAGATGACGTTCCTCTCAATTCTTTGGTTGTCATTTCTTTGAAGCAGACAAACAATTTATTGATAACTTCTTTATTATACAGTAATAGCAACGTTTCGGTATAGATATGTATACCGTTGTCTTGCTTGACGCTATTACAGTATAACAAAAAGATTATTATCCATAATTTTTTGTCAACGTTGTCAACATTCGTCTTTGATAGTAAAACTAGTTGTCCATGTTGTCCAATCACCTATGATTGTGGGTTCGAATCCCGGTTCGCTCCGATTATGTTTCTAGGTTTGTCAGCATCATACCCGTGCTCGTGGGTTTCACCGAAGTGATAAACGTCTGAGACCTGCATCACTTCGGGCTTTCCTCCCACATCAAGCTGACACGCCGCGATATAACTGTAATACTGTTAAAAGCGGCGTTAAACCCAACTCACTCATTCACTCATTCTGAGTCTCGTGTTAGCAGGAATCTCCCGATATATTTGCAATGCCGTATTCTCATGTTTAACTACACATACGTGTATATGTAAATTTACTATAACATGAATACTAGTACCCCACTCAGACACAGTATACTGACTCCGAGCCGACCAGTCCTTGTTTTAGCCCCTTAATGCCGAGCGCCAGACAGGGTAACAACAAGTACCCTCTTTAAAGTATTTTCGTATGACGCGGCCGGGGACGGTACCCCGGACCTTCCGCTCTCCGGGCGGACGCTCTACCACTAGACCACGGAGGCGGTCCCTTCCCTAAGATAATAATATAGCACTTAGAGTTTGCTTCAAACGGAAGGATTTGATGCTAAATATAGATGTACAATTTATTATCAAAAGTTGTTTGTTTTTTTAAGTTTATTTCAGATTGAGAGATGATTCTAATAATTGCAAGTTCAAATTTCAGTACATACATGATTCATTGATTAGAACTAAAGTTATTTCAAGGTATGTTGCAATAGTTAGATTCAGAGCGACGAAGCAAGTGCCCCTGAACTTTACATCAACGGTACTGTTGTCAAAATGTTCAAACATTACACAAAGGCACCTACTCGTTGCCACACCCAGAATTTGATATCTAGGACAGGGTAAACATGTCTAGCCGCATTGCGACAGGTGAGGTGAGGTGAGGTGAAATGGGGTTTATCGTCGCGTCCAAGATTATTACACTTATATAGCGACGTGCACGTACGTGTATGTGTGTGTGTGCCTGCTTGTACTAGTCCGGACTGATGCCGATTTATAGTGCTAGCACACTGGGATACCATGCCGCAGTTTAACATGAGTACCCCACTCAGACACAGTATACTGACTCCGAGCCGACCAGTCCTTGTTTTAGCCCCTTAATGCCGAGCGCCAGACAGGGTAACAACAAGTACCATATTTTAACGTCTTTTGGTATGACGCGGTCGGGGATCGAACCCCGGACCTTCCGCTCTCCGGGCGGACGCTCTACCACTAGACCACGGAGGCGGCCGCATTGCGACAGAATACAAATATGTCCTGTAACCGTACGATGTGTCCGTGGACTGGTTAAGTCATGTGCCATGGCGTTCCCTGCTCAGTTAACCCTCGTGGGTCACGTGCTCATACCCATTGATGACGTCATAGGTACTTCTAGGTTTAATGTTGACTGCATCGTCGGTGTCCTGTCTTTGTTTTGTTTGGTGTTTAACGCCACACTCAGCAAAATTCCAGGTATATGACGGCGATCTGTAAATAATCGAGTCAGGACCAGACAATCCAGTGATTGACATCATGAGCATCGATCTACGCAATTGGAATACAACTGGATGACATCAACCAACTCAGCGACCACCCGATCACGTTAGTCGCCTCTTGCGACAAGCATAGTCGCCTTTTTCGACAAGGACGGGTTGATGAAGACCTATTCTGACCCGCATCTTTACGGTTCCGTTGTCTAGATATCAACCCCTGGGAGGGGGGGGGGGGGGGGGGAGAGAGAAAGGTTCTATGCAGCCAATTAATTAACGCGTGTAGAATACAGTAAAACCCCGTTACTCCGACAGATACCCCTACATTTGTCCGGTTTAACAAATATCCGGATTAACGAATAAATGTAAGGAGTACTACCCTCTGTATGTGTAGACGTTTAGATTACCGGGGTTTCACTGTACATTCAACTCCAAAAGATACGCGAAGTTTTCCTTGAGAATTTGAAATGGTAAATGTATCATGCTATTAAAAAATGTGTTTAAAAAAACAGTTCAAAATTGGCAGGGTTAAGGTTAAATATTTCATTTCACTTGCAGCAAAATGTCATGAACTTTATGTAAGATTCAAGGTCACATCGACGTTTAAAAGTCACACAAATTGTGTTTTTATAGACATATTCAGTGACGGGTATGACCTCCGACTTTGCTTCAAAAAAGGTTTCTAATGACTTGGTGATAAGTTGGTGATTGTTAGAATGTTTAGATGCGGTTACCGTATCCTCTCATCTTGTCATCGTGAATGAATACTATGAATATCAATCTCTTCCTAAATCACCTCTCTAACCGCTATGAAATAGAAAATGAATACCATTTTTTGTTAATTTGTCCTTCATAAAAGTAGTAGAGAAAATTAAATTCCAACATGTTACCGTGTACAACCATCTGTCCCAAAATTTATCAGTCTTTTATCTTCCAGAAATGATCGTTATTAAAAACCTGTCCATATGTTTAAAAAGACATTTACCTATGTGGTGAGGTGAGGTGAGGTGAGGTGAAATGCGGTTTAACGACGCGTCCAAGATTATTGCACTTATATAGCGACGTGCATGTACGTGTGTGTGTTTGTATGGCTGCTTGTACTAGTCCGACTGATGCCGATTTATAGTACTAGCTCACTGAGATACCATGCCGCAGTTTAACATGAATACCCCACTCAGACACAGTATACTGACTCCGAGCCGACCAGTCCTTGTTTTATCCCCTTAATGCCGAGCGCCAGACAGGGTAACAACAAGTACCATCTTTTAACTCTTTTGGTATGACGCGGTCGGGGATCGAACCCCGGACCTTCCGCTCTCCGGGCAGACGCTCTACCACTATACCACGGAGGCGGTCCCATTTACCTATGTAAATACAAATGTAAAAAAAGATGAACGTTTGTTGTAACAAGATTTGTGCATGTGCATAGCATATATTATTCCTGTAAATGAACTCTGAGCCATGTGGCCTTCATTCATGAATAAACCTCCTCCTCTTCTTCTTCTTCTTCTTCTTCTTCTTCTTATCTCTAAATAACCATACTTGATAGAAAGTGAACGTTAAACTTGAAAAAAGTTTTAAAAATTTACCACCGGTTTTGGTTTTCGATCTGGAGTCCTGTTCCCACCATGACTTGTAACCAATCTGAGATGTAGAGGTGCGCTTAAATGCACAATTTCAAACGTCGCCCACACTGGTGACTTTATAGAGAAACTACGGTGGCCCATAAGGGACGTGGAGTCTGCTTTTCAATATTTTGATATTTCACTTACTTTTATCATAACCTTTTGCAAATTAACACAATTTGTCATACAAATATGTGATAAATCGTGTATAAAAACAACCGAAAACATGGAAAATATACTTTCAAGTAGCTATTGAATCGTTGAAATGTGAAGCGAAAATGCAAAAAACTAAAATGAAAATGTCAAAAACAAAAACGAAAATGTCAAAAACAAAAGCGAAAATGTCAAAAACTTAGTTTTTGTCCTTTTCGTTTTTGTTTTTGACATTTCAATATCTTCTTTACACATGATTAATCACACATTTGTATGACAAATCGTGTTAATTTGCAAAAGGTTACGATAACGGTAAGTGAAATATCAAAATATTGAAAAACAGACTCCATGTCCCTTATGGGCCACCGTAAGAAACTGATATATACGACGAACAGATGGGAGAATACGGTAAAGGCAACCCTCTTTCCCACCAGGGAACGGAGTACATTCAGTCCGTGAACGCTGGTGTTATTTACTCAGGAGTGGAGCGCAAATATACTTGATAGAAGCACGAGGTCCTGATTCAAACCTAGTCATGCCAGTGCGGTTGACATGACAATACGTAACCACGCTTGTAAACAAACACAGGTACCATCATTGCGCTATGTGCTGTGAACTCATTTGACCCAATATCAATAGTGCGCATGAATATGTGTGTGTGAGAGAGACAGTAAACACTTTTTGGTTCAGACGAGAAATGCACATTCATGATATATTACCTTCAAAGCGAATAAGGAGAGTCACTGTGTACACACACTCATAACGTACATTCAACCTTGAACGACTTTTGAAAATATCTACAAATTGAGAGCGTAAAGCCAGGGTATGAAACTCCCAAAACTTTCAGCCAGTCCACCAAAACCCGCCTGCCTACTATAATCATATGTTTCTCAGGATAAGCTTACGGGGTTTCTTTTTGGTTACATTTTATCATTCAGCTTTACATGTGAATTAATGCTTATCATCGGGAAATATTTAGAATATTTTCACAAATGAAATATAACCCGA